ATCCCTGGTATCTCCAGACTGCCAATCCCCAGAAAAACCCTCAAACATATCACTGGATATGGGTTGCATGCACACATTCCTGACTTCTTGCAATCCAATGGTTCCCCTTCATCCTCACTACTCCCAGACGCATTACTTCCAGTAAAGCCCATGAAATCCTCATCTTCAGTGGGAGCACTAAGTATGTCCCGAATCCTTTTCCTCTGACGTTCTTCGAATGACTCCTGCTCTCGAGTAACCCGTTTGACACCTCTACTCCCATCTCCCTCCTCCTCCTCACACATTTCACTCTCTGAGAAACCTTCAAAGGAGTCTTCGTCTGTGGGAGACATAAGTATTTCCCAGATTCTCTTCCTTTGTTTTTCTTCTTCTAACACCTGAGCACCTCGTTTCCCTCCTCTATTACTCCCACCAGCAATAGTATCGTTGCCAGCAGACTCTATTATAACAATGCTAATCTCTATTTCTAAGCTGAAGAGCAAGCTAGAAGGGCAAAAATATATATCTAGAATCTAGCTACACATTATATTTAAAATGTTACATTCAGTGAAGTTAAGATAGATTTTTAAAAAATACATACTAAGAACTGTGCTCATTAAAAAAAGAACACTCCCTGAAGATGTGACATACAGCAGGTTGGATTCTCCACCCCTGAGCTGCGATTCAGGAAAAAGGTCTTCCTTTGAATGCCTGTCTTTAATATTTGATTAGGCATATGGTATGCAAATGCTCTGTCTCTTTAAAAATAAATACCCAGGGATTTACAAATATTTAATCTGCCTGATACATATGAATGGAGACGATGGGTCCTTCTAGACAGGCCCAAAAACCCTTGATGGGTCACGGGTTATCCTGAGGCGTCCAAACAACACTTCAGGATAACCTGGATTATATAATAATTTTTTTTTAATAATAAAACTTTATTTATACTCTGCCCTATCTCTCCTGGGGGACTCAGGTGGATTCCAACAAACAAAAAGACAAACGTTGAATGCCTTAATAACAGTAAATACAAATATAAAAACCCAAGATAACCCCACATAAAGAGCAACTTAAGCATAACAACTATAATTTAAATAAAACATAATCAATTGAAAATTATAACTAACATAGAACTTAAACATAAACATCTAAATTAATATATCAAAATAACATGAAGGTTCACAAATGTGTGCATTTGTGATTGTATGGCCATTGTATTTGTGATTGATTGTATAGATTGTGATTGATTGTATAGATTGTATGGCCAAAGTTGTTAAATGGGCTAATGTGATCTAACAAGGCCTGAGTGAAATTATACTATTCAGCCATCCGTCTGGTAGTAGTTTCTCTTCATCTACTTTTCCTCCTTTCCATATGCTTGTGAGCAAAGATAGGTTTTCAGCTGTTTTTTTTTTTTTGAAGGAGAGAAGGGAGGAGAGCAGTTTTATTTCTTTAGGGGGGAAGTTCCAGAATAGGAGGGTGATCATGGAGAAGACCTTCTTTCTCATTCCTGCCAGCCATACTTGAGATGGGGGTGGAATTTCCCAGTTTATTCTGGATTAATAAAACACCTTGGAAGCTTCTTGCCCTCTCCTTTCCAATGCTCCCAATCAGAGGCAGCCCTAGGTAATTTTCAATGGTAAGCAAACAGTATTTTGGCACCCCCCCCCCAACCAATCACTGATATATATTCACTGTGGGAGTTCTGTGTGCCATATTTGGTTCAATTCCATCATTGGTGGAGTTCAGAATGCTCTTTGTAGCATTCTGTAGGTGAACAATACATCCCAGTAACTACAACTCACATATGTCAAGGTCTATTTTCCCCCAAGAGCTCCTCAAGAGTGCCCCTGGGCAAAATCAACTATACTGCAAATGCTTACTTTGCGTAATGGGTTGAACCACCCCTGCTCCCAATGCATCGCTTTGACACATTGGAAGTTTCCTTCAAGGGGTCTGAGCATGCAGCTAGGCCCCTCCAGTAATTTTTTTGGGGGAAAAAAGGGGCTGGAGGCTAGCTACATGCCCTCCTGGGCCAACCTCTCGTTGACCTAGAAGGGCGTGCATCCACCTTCCACCCCAAGGAAACTACAAGGTTTGGCCCAGCTGTGGGGCTGCAATCCTGACAGGAATTGAGATTAAAAATCCCAGTTCTTCTCTGGATTTGGGTCTGTCTGGAAGGGCCCTATGGTTTCTGAGCATACTGCATATATTGGTGCACGAGCCCTCACATCTTCACATATAACAGCTACAACAAAATCCTCAGCAGTCATTCTGACTTAAAGGAAGTAGTTTTTCCATATTTAAAGTAGCACACAATGCCAAATATTTCTGTGATAAATTATAGATGTTTTCTAAATTCAGTTTGAAACAGATAATGTAGAGTATCTGCTTTGATAATCTGAATTATGTAGCAGTGTAGAAGGGCCCCTACTGTCTTCTACTTTGCAAAGCATTGTTGTCTTCTCTAGCAGGTTATGCTTTCTTCTGTCATGTCCAAACTGTGATGGTCTCAGTTTAGGATCTACATACTGTATTTCAAGGCGAGTATAGCCTGAATTCTTTCTAGAAGCTAAAATGACTAAAGGTGCATCTACATTGTAGAATGAATCCAGTTTGACACTATTTTGACAGCCATTGCACCCTGCTGTGGAATCATGGGAATTGTAGTTTGGTGACACACCAGCAGTCTTTGATAGAGAAAGTTAAAGACCTTGTAAAACTATAACTCCAACAATTCCAGACCATTGAACTATGGCAGTTAAAAATGGTGCCAAATTTATTCTACACTGTAGATGCATCCTAAACTGAGACCATCACAGTTTGGACATGACAGAAGAAAGCATAACCTGCTAGAGAAGACAACAATGCTTTGCAAAGTAGAAGACAGTAGGGGCCCTTCTACACTGCTACATAATTCAGATTATCAAAGCAGATACTCTACATTATCTGTTTCAAACTGAATTATCAGAGGCCCCTTCCACACAGCTGTATAAAATCCATATTGAACTGGGTTACATGGCAGTGTGGGCCCATATAAGCCAGTTCAAAGCAGATATTGTGGATTATTTGCCTTGATATTCTGGGTTATATGGCTGTGTGGAAGGGTCCTGAGTCTATGCTGCCATATAAACCAGTTCAAAGCAGATAATCTAGAGGTCTTTTATTCAGAGTTACTATAATTTAAGTTGACTTGATGACAGTCAACAATGAAATATTCTCAATGATACTCTCAGTTCAGTGCACATATAGCTGTGGCTCTACCTAGGAGTTAATCAAACAGTAATTCCCAGTTAACGCTGAAATCTTAGAGTATGCAAACATATCTGAGAATAAGTCCTATTGGTTTCAGGTCACTTATTTCTATCAACTGTGTAGGACTGCACTGTAAAATGATGGAGGAAAACACTTTCAAAGAGCTCCATCTAGAGGCACTGGTTGCATTATGCTAGCTGCAAACATAGCAGCATCCACTGGGTGGATTCTGCCTCTGAAATTGTCAAGCTAGCACTTCATTCCTTGAGCAGCCTGTCAGTACAGCCATACAATTACCAATTTTACACATTGTCTCAAAGCAAAGATGTGAATACCATAATTTCTTCTTTCATAAATTATCATTCTTTCATCTTTGTAAAGGTCAGGGAGACAGCTTAGAATGAATAGCTTACCAACAATGGCTGGAATCCTATTTATACTCTGATTTTCAAAAGGGACAGTTTGCGCTGCCTTTCTAAAAGGAGGGTTTGAGTATCAAGAGCATTTAATAAAACCAATCACTTAAACTAAAAGCAGAGACATAACAAAACTGCAAAAATTAAACAGAGACTACAGTCTTTATAAAAGATTAAGAGTCATAATTCTTTCACACTAGAAGCAACTTGCAGCTTCTCAAGTCACTCCTGACATGAAAAAGGTGGCGGTTGATACTGTTGCAGATGTGTTTAAATGTTTTTACTAAAGACAAACCAACCCTCATGAAATATGTCATTTCTCGCTTGTCTATTACATCATTTAGCTGTATAGGAAAGTTTTTCCCCCCATTACCCAGGTGTTCCAGTTTTCTTTTTTTTCTACCAGCTGTTCACCACAAGTTTTCCTGATTTCCAGCATTTCGCTCTTTCCATTCCCTTCTCATACGAGTTTACACATAATAGCTATCCGAGTGGAAGACTATACTAATACCTAGCATATTCATTCTCTGTTGCCCCGAATTTGATGGACCATGATGAGCCACTTAATTAGAACCTGCTTCTTACTAAATGCCTTGTAATTTCCTGAGAATTAATTTTTATTGTTGTTGTTCATTCATTCAGTCGTTTCTGACTATTTGCGACCTCATGGACCATCCCACACCAGAGCTCCCTGTTGGCCGTCACCTCTCCCAGCTCCTTCAGAGTCAAGCCAGTCACTTCAAGAATACCATCCATCCATCTTGCCCAGCATCATAGTCTTCTCTAAACTTTCTTGTCTCCTCATGATGTGGCCAAAGTACTTCAACTTTGCCTCTACTATCCTTCCCTCCAATGAGCAGTTGGGCTTTATTTCCTGAAGTATGGACTGGTTGGATCTTCTCGCAGTCCAAGGAACTCTCAGAACTTTCCTTCAACACCACAGTTCAAAAGTGTCTATCTTCCTTCGCTCAGCCTTTTATAGTCCAGCTCTCACATCCGTAGGTGACTATGGGGAATACCATTGCTTTAATTATGCTTTAATTAATTTTAATTAATTTTTAGCAAAGGGATTTTCTGCAAGGGTTCTCCTTAATAATAATTTCTTTTGCTTTTCAAACAATTTTTCTTTTCTTTTCCCAAGCTAAAATTAAAAGTAACTCATTTAATTCTTTTAAAAAAACAACAACCGCCTAACCAAATTTACTCTGTAAAACTCCTAATCCCATCCAGAGTGCTGATACTTCACAGAACTGCTTCAGTGACCATAATGAGCAGGGCATTAACTATAAGAAAAAGGGCTGAAATTGCTGATGCAGAAGATACTCAAAGGGAACCAAGGGAACCTCATGATTTCTGTCACAAAATATGTCCCTTATCATGTGACAATAAAAGGGCTTTGGTGCCACTAATTTCCCCAGTGGCCATCCTCAGCTAATTTAATCAAGCAGCACATACCAAAATTAACAAACTGTAAGAATTCACTTTTCCATAATGACTATCTGCATATATTTCTAGTGGCATACATTTCAGAGAGAAATGCAATATGTAACTATTCATATCTGATGTATGAATGTATCTATTGAATTAATTAGTTCGAGGATTCATTCCAGAATCACACCTTATCTTTAATTTTAAATTTTAAGTCTAATAACTAGGGCTGGGCGGTTTCGTTTCGTTAATTCGTAATTCGTTAATAATTCGTTAATTTTTTCAATTACAAAACGATAACGAACCATTCTGGAGCAATTATTAAAAAAACGAATTTTCAAAAACGTTTTGTAAATGCTTCGTATTTCGATATTGTATTCGTTTTGTTATTGTTTTGAGGTCGTTTCGTTATTATTTCCGCATGTCTGGGCCAGTTTTATGGTTTAATTAGTGAAAAAAAATTATAATATCACACCAACAGTCAACAACAGAGGGAGAGGGAAGCTTCAGAAGTTTTTGGAGGTTTTTTAGCGTATTTCGCGGTCGCGTCCGCCATTAACGAATCGATTCGTTATTGTTTCGGAAATCGATTCGTTATTTTTTACCATTTACGAAATTTCGTAAATATCGAACTTTTTAAAAGGAAAATTTTGTAATTATTTTAAATATCGAAACAAAAAAACCCCCCAAATACAAATCGATTTTAGAAACAAATTTTTCCGTTGTTACCCAGGCCTACTAATAACACTGACCAATACACATTTTGTTAGACCTGTTTTGGGGTATATTTGACTTCCTGATTCCAATAATGCCTCCACTTTTCCTCTATCAGCTCTAGTTTCTGAGATATAGAACATATGCTATTTACCAGTCTTCATATACTTACCCATATACTTACCCATAAGAAGTTATGATAACCAGGTTGAAGAAATTAGAGCAGATGCGGACTGTCAAATGCAATTTTCTGAACCAGCGGCCCAAACAACCCCAAGAACAGGCTTCAAAAGCAAGACACCATTTGTGTGTGGGGTGTGTATGTGTGTGGGAGAGGGAGAGTCAACTGTATAATTATAAGGAAATAGTGAGGTCTGAATTCAGCATAATGTTAGTAAAGCAAAACTGTGTTTGTGAGAGTAGTTTTTTTCTAATTATAAAATTCAGTCTTATTTCTGAGAACGATTTTTTTTTAAGAAAGGACCTTCAATAGCGTACTGTACTGCTTTAAACTGTGCTGTTTTAGAATGCTTCTGCAGGAAAGTGTTGTGTATAAAGATATAGATAAAGGTAAAGGTTTTTCCCTGACATTAAGTCCAGTTGTGTCCGACACTTGGGGTTGGTGCCAATCTCCATTTCTCAGCCGAAGAGCCAGTGTGGTCTGTAGACACCTCCAAAGTCACGTGGCCAGCATAACTGCACCACCAGGGTCTATATATATATATATATATATATATATATATATATATATATATATGGGCCCTGGTGGTGAAATGGGTTAAACTGCTGAGGTGCTGAACTGACCGACCAAAAGGTTGGCGGTTTGAATCTGGGGAGCAGGGTGAGCTCCCACTGTTAGGTCAACCTGGCAGTTCGAAAACATGCAAGTGTGAGTAGATCAATAGGGACAGCTTCTGCGGGAAGGTAACAGTGCTCCATGTAGTCATGCTGGCCACATGACATCGGAGGTGTCTACAGACAATGCCAGCTCTTCGGATTAGAAATGGAGATGAGCATCATCAGAGTTGGACATGATGAGACCTAATGTCAGGGGTAACCTTTATCTTTACACACAGATGCACACACACCGTATATGGCTTTGCTGAGATTCGACATCTATTTTACTATATATTACACCATTTTACGTATGCATTACCGCATTTTTAGTTGTGGCCTGCCTACTATTGGGGAGGGATGGGAAAGGAATTATATTTAGCATGTTTTAGGCAATTAAACATTTGTGTGTGCATGCTTCTTCGATTTGTCTACAGACTTATGAGAACTCCATACATTTAATAAGGTTTTCCAAGGAAAGGAATACTTAGATGAGGTTTTGCCAATTGTTCTCTCTGAAATACAACATTTGGTATTCTTTGTGGATCTCCCATCCAAGTACTAACCAGGACTGACCCTGGTTAGCTTTTAAGATCAAACTGGGATCTGCTGCCTTTAAGGTACTTATTATTGTCGCAATTAAACTTTTAGAATAGACCTATATAGTGTATTTTGTAACCACTAGGTGCCACTGTTTCTCCATGAAAGATGAATTCTCAAATATTTTTGATCAGCATGTTTTACTAATTTGATTTCTATGATAGCTTTGATTATTTGTTGCTTAAAATTGTATACACCTGGGATGCATTATCACACTCCCATCTACATGCTAATTATTTGAATAAGCTAAATTATGAAGGTTGTCATTATGTAGTTTGTTGCGTGAGAGTTCCTGTTAGGAGTCAGAATTTCAACATCCCTTGCATTTAAACATAACACACATACATACACACACATGGCGCCCACATGGGTTTCAAACATTTCAGAATAGAAAAAAATCTGTATTTCAAGTTATGCTGTGTAAGGAATGCAATATAGAGAAAAACAAAATGTTCGTTGTTGCGGCTGGGAATTCTAACATTGATTAGGAAGAATTATGGCTGGATATTCCTAAATGTCTTTTACTAACATTTGTAACTGGTGAACATCTTCCTAGTAGTTTACACCTATTTCTGTTTATTCTTAGCAGTTCAGAAAATGTGGAAAGGCCAATAAAAGTCAATGGTTTGATAGAAATCTTTGGATTTCAAAGTATCTAAGGGTAACAAAGAACTTGAAAAAGTTACTTTTTGTATTTCAGTTTCAGGAATTCCAAATCCCTAGCCAGATGAAATTATTCGCCACTAAAGTAGCTTTTCTAAGCATTGGGTAGGCATAACAGATTATTTCTTGATATTCTTTTCTCTTGTCTTTGTGGAATTTGATATTTTAATATGTTTGTACAGATTTTTCACATTTAACAAAATGTTAAGCAGAGTGTTAGCATTTTAGAATGCAGTGATACCTTGAGTTAAGAGTTTAACTTGTTCTGTGATTGAGCTCTTAACTCAAATCACTCTTATCTCAAAGTGAATTTTCCCATTGAAATGCTATTAATGCATTCCAGGCCCAACAATTTTTGTTACATTTTAAAAATAAGAAAATGTAATTTATAAATAATACATAATGCATAAATGCACATTCCCATGGAACAATAACAAAAGAAAGATCAACTTTAAAAGGACAGAAGCACAAATTTGTGGCAAGGAAGCACATTTAAGACAACAAAAGGTCTTTCTTGAGTAGTTCCCTTTCTCTCTTCCATGATTTCTCTATAACCATTCTTGCTGCAACAAAGCAATGATCATTTTCTTTAAATAGATATTCACTATAAGATCTTATTTCATCTTTGGATGTTGGCTTTAGGTCCGCTTCTAATAGACATAACCATAAAGGGGTTTGCTGTACCATGTCCCCTTTATATTTCTTCCATATTGTAAGTGCATTCGGTCCTGTTATATGGTTATTGAAATCTTTGTTTAGCTTATCCTTTTTGTACCAGAGATAGGCATGCCATCCAAATCTAAGGTTGTGACCCTCTAAGCAGGCATGTAGCCGGGGGGGGGGGGGGGGGGGGGCTTGAGGGGCTTCAGCCCCCCCCTCCGAAATTCTCATGGTGGTTCGCGAAAAGGCCTTACTGGTGCATTATTTAAACTGTTATGTTTATTCATATCATGATCTGATCACCATACTCAGTATATCCCATATGCATGGGGGTATTGGGGTAATGATACAAAAGGTTTGCTAGGCTAGACCCTCTTTCACTCAGACTCACCCCCCAAACTCAGCCCCCCCTAACCCCCCCTGAAAAAAATTCACCCCCCCCCCGAAAAAAATCCTGGCTATGGGCCTGCCTCTAAGTCAGTGTTTCTCAATCTGGGGGTTGGGACTCTTGGGGGGGGGGGTTTCAGAGGGGTCCAAACACCATCAGAAAACATATGATGGTCTTAGGAACCCCTTTGGCAGAGAAGGCTGAAGATCCCTTTGCCTGTCCTTCTCTTTCTTATTGGAAACGGATGGTGATTCCTCCCACCAAAAGCCCTCCTCTGCTGTGATTAGTCGGCCTCTCAGCCAAGGGGAGGGCTATTTCTGAGATTCCAAGAGGGGAGGGGAGAGCAGGCATGCCCGGAGCATTGCATGTGCGGGTGAGGCACACGAAGCTGGAGGGAGACTCACGTCCCTTCAAGTCCTTTTTAACCCTCTTTTCAGGCCAGGATGACCTCTTGTGATGTCATAGGTTTTGATGATGTCATTACTCATGATAAGCACTCATTATGGGTTTGCAGAATATGCCATTCAAATATAACAAAAAACATCATGTTTAACAAATGAAGAATATATAGACTGAAAAACATATGGAGGCTCACTGTTGTTGTACAAGGCTGAGAAGTTTGGAGAAAATAAAAGAATAGTTAAAAATATTTTATTGTTTCGTGAGTTAACTAAGGCAGTGAGGTTACAAGTTTAATTTTTAAGAAATACTTTGGGTTTCTGCCATCAAGAGTTCAGAAAAAAATGACTTTGGTTACTTTTTGCTCAGTGGAGGAGTTGTGTGATACGGTTAAACATCTGGTAGTATTCGAGTGTCAAGTTAGAATAAAAATGGCTGTGTTTAGTCATAAATCATGCATAGGATTTTTGACTAAGCTCCAGCTGCAGGTTTGCATAAACGGCCGGTGCTATCTTGTCATTTATCTTAGGCAGCATTAAAATGTATAGGGCCAGCCCTACAACCACAGTGCATAAGTTACAAATGACCCTTGATATGGCCAATAAAAGACCCGCAGTGCCTTAAGACTTTTAAAAGTCTGCTTATTTCTTTATTGATGGTTTTATTCTTTTTCTTTGGCACTGATAGCCAGTTTGATTTATGACATCTTTTCAATTCTATTCAACAATGGCAAAGGAATTCTGTTCTTCTTATCAATCCAAAGA